TCTTTCCCCTCCCCCCCTCTCTCTTTTTCTACCACCCCCCCTTCCCCGGCACTCTTTTTTTCCCTTCTTATCGTAAAACATACATTCGCAGAGTTATCGCCACTTGTAAGGTGTAGACAGACCATCCCGGGGCTACTACATCATCTACTGGTACCCCAAGGGGCGTGGTCACCACGTCGGGGGCAACAAACCAACACCCAAACACACTGCTACGTACTATTATTATTTTTACTACTACTACTTCTATTACTGTCACTATTACTACTACTACTACTAACTACCACTATTGTTACTACTACTACTACTACTACTACTACTACTACTACTACTACTACTACTACTACTACTACTACTACTACTAATACTGCTGCTGCTGCTGGCCCTCAAAACTCATAAAATAAAAAAAATGCAAAAACTATAATTTAATAATAATAATAAATATAATAACAATATAATACACGTAGTAATAACATTAAACATACCAATGCATGACATTTATATACATTAAACTTAACAATGCATGACATTTATATAGCGCATTTCTACAATTTACAATCCAAGCACGCTTTAAAGGACACATTAAAAGCCTATAATAATGGCTTGACAATACATGTAGCAATTATGCACAAGGGCATACAAGTGACACACATATGTATCAATGTATAGGTATATGAATACATTAATTTATTGCAGTAACATAATATGTGTACAGAAACAATTCAAGTAAATAGTTTTAGAAATATGGATCAAATAAAATACGGTTAACAATCCCAAGAAATAAAGGATACTGTTACAACATAAAATAGTGTATAATTAAATGCATCAGCACAGTGATCTAGTAGTCTCTCGCTTTCTCTCTCTCTCTCACTGATGTGTTGCACCAATTTACGGATTTGTTGAGTCACATGTTCTTACAATGTGTGGATTTATAGGTCAAAGGCCTTTAAAATCAATAAAATCTCTCATTCTCGTTTTCACTCTCATGCAGCTGTAGCAGTAAAATATAGATGTTATACGGGGATAGAATTGTGTAAATGAACAGTTTCAACTTTTTCTTGAATAAATTCAAAGACGTTCTGGCGTAACTTGCTCCTGCCATATAATTTATTACGTCTGGTAGGTTCTATTGAAATAGTTTTTGTCTTAGATTGATCTAAGCTGCCTCATAGGTATATAGATACCACTTGAAATTTAGTGCGGTGCAAGCCTGTTGACAGATTTAAAACACAAAAGATAGACCTTGCAAATAATGCGTGGTTTGTCTTTAGATAACCGATGTAGATCTCTCAGGATTGGGGACACATGATTTCTACTTCTTTCTGGCAGCATGGTTTTGGACAATTTGAAGTCGAATCAAAAGATTATTTTGAAGTTATGGAAGTAAAGAATTACAAAAATCTTATCTTGAGAGTACGAATGATATTACTAGTGTTTTGGTTATATTTTTGTTGAGGTACTTTCACATGCTTCCAGCTTTCACCTGTGCGTACTGGAAAACACATATAAAATATGCATAAAACTTCACCTGCAGGTACTGGAAAGCATATATGCAATAACCCCCCCCCCCTAAATTATCTGAAACCAGCTCAAGCATGACTGAAACTAAACAGTTGAGACCCAACTTAATCTACGGTGTGGGGAAAGCAATTATTCAAACATCAAAGGTCTCGGGCATTATAAATCATACAGTACTGAAAACCGATGATGGACCAATTGCTGGCATCTCCCCATTTTCCCTGGAGATCACTTGTGATAAAAAAAAGAGTAAAAAATAAAAAATTAGACACACAACAAACTGGAATAAAAAAAACCCCAACAACTGACAACTGTCATGGAATTTAGTGCTCGATGAAAAACCACACAAAAAGTTAAAAAGGCATCATTACAATATTTTGTCTTATCTGTTGAGCTGTAAATAAAACAGAGACCATAATTAATTAATATTAAACACACACATAAAAAAAAAAAAAAAGTGAAAAATGATCAGACCCACCTCCCCCTCATAATCTTAAGTTTCAGGTCCTCTATCATATCATCTACAACTCTTTTTCTCTCTATACACATCAGATGACAGTAAGCCTGCATTAGAAACCAAAGTGGGCCTTCAGAGCTGCAGAATAGATATACATTTATATGGATTCTGGTCACGATTCACTCCCCCCCCCTCCCCCGCCATTTATAACTGATTCATGAAGGGAGAAAATGCTTAAACTGCTGTAATTCAGTTATGTTGCAGAGTGTCACAAAAACACTCCCAGTAAACAAGCATAAGCTATGAGCTTGTGAAGCACAGGCTAACTATCATCCGATGGAATATATATATATATGCAAGTTCGTGTAATATAATCCTGCCTAATACATTCATCAGGTACAACATAGCCCATAAAAAAACCAACAATGATGCTCCATTTGAGAAGCTTTTGTATCACAACGTGTTGGTGTAAGGAGAGTACTATCCTAGGGGTGGGCAAACTGATCTACATCATGTGTACTTTTGACACCTGTGACATAAAAGCAACACGTCTTCAGGCATACTTTGACCACTCGAATCAATATTAAAAAATCACAATGCTTCATTTCAAAAGACCAGGGCAACAGTATATTTAAAAAAAAAAAAAAAAAAAAAAAGTAAACAACCCAAACTAACGCCAATTTTTTTCACATTTCAACAGTAACAGTTGCAAACTGAATATAAGTCCAAAATCAGTTAATATATAATACTTCTAAGAAAAACAGGGGTAAGTTCATGTGCATCAAAAACGTAAATTTAAAAAGCGCATGTTTTGAGCCAATGTTGTATTTCGCTTGGTAAACTAGCACCATGACATGATGCAAGTGGGTTTTCCAAGTGATCCTTTCAGATAAGGTAAAACGAGGGTATTATTTTTTTTAGTAGAGGGTTTTACGGCGCTCGCAACTGCATAAGGTCATATGAGCGCAAAGGGGTAGGTGTCAACGAAGAAGTCCTTACAAGGAATCAGACTTATTCTGCTCACCTCTCAAGCTTCAACAGTACAAGGCCTGCTTAGATAAAGCTTGGACATACACAGTTTGCCACTGTTATCATTGATATCATAGTCATGAGGTGTCACAGTAATGTGTTAAGGAGACTGAATATGAAATTTCCATTCACTTTCTCAGTTGTAACCAAAGCAAAGTTTAGGCATACAGCATAGTTACTGACTCCATGATGTAAATGTTTAACACCCTTATCAACCACATTTAGGTTATTTTCGAGACAGGGTGGTTCCACCACCTAACCTATCAGGGGCAACCCGGGCTGATAGGGATGCAGTATTTCAGCAAAAAGACAGATATCAGACACCAAAAAAAAAAACAGACTTCCCTACATGGGAGTACAACACATCTTGACTTTAGTGCACACCTGTTCTGTGAAAAGCCTAACCATTGCTATTACACCACAGATTCCTGGTGATTCCATAACAGAACAGACACTCAGAGGAACTGAAACTGAGTTGAGCAATGCTTGCTTGAAACTTGACTCCCTGGAAGAACTGAAACTTACACTATTTACTCAAACACTTAAAAAACCTGAAACAAGATTCAAGCAGCACAACAGAATTAAGCCTTTCCATGAACACAAGACAAAGAATAATAAAATAAATGATTAAAAAATAAACCCAACAAACTTCCAGCCGTACAGTCAAACATGGTCTAACGACCACTAGTACACACAATAATCACCTGTACAAATGACCACTCCCCCCCCCCTGTGTTTGTCTATACATAATGACACTGCCCAAGAGGACTGCTTCTTGTCTAAGACGACTATTTTGCTCCAAGACTGTGAGACTGGATGGTTGTCTTGAGCAGGTTCCTCTGTACTTTTGATCATGTTTTAAAAAAAATGAAGTGCCAATTTGACAAGGACAGCCAAGGAGAGACAGATCTCTACTCAAAAAAATGTGTCCTATAGTTATATTTTTAGATCTTCTTAAATAGACTCACCACTCAGCTGCATCCTGTTCTTTACCAGATCAAGTGGCTGGACAAAGATAGTAGCAGCCATGCTGAGGAGGAAACAAAACAATTAGAGAAATTCATTTTTCTCTCAGAACTTCAAGACAGTTATTGGGAGTTTTCCACAATAAAGTTGGTATTCAGCAAAGCATTGAATACAGTATTTTGTTCAGTTTGACTCAGAATACATACAATTCTAAAGAAGTATGGTGTATTTGGAGATGGTGACGCACTACTAAGGTTGTCCCTTCATAGGACACCAGGTGAACACAGCCCTCCCCCCCCCCCCATACCACACATAGGACTGGTTCCAATACACTTACGAAGCAAGACACTGTATAAAAGTTAATCATATAACGAGGACTGTATGCTTTAGTGTTTGATACAGAATTTATAATAAAGGAGTCACAATAAAGACTCAACGTAACTTGAAAAACTAAAGTATCCATCAAAGTAACAGTGTCTCTAGAAATTGTTCCTTAGTAGGTGTTGCCCAACTGCACCAAACTCACGAACAATAGTTTCCTCCAATAGGTTTTGACAAATTAAGACAGCAACAACTGAGCCTCCTATGAATGACGTTTCAACTTTAACATCAAAAGGGTCATTTCAGTAAAACAAACCCAAGTAACTAACAATATCAGTATCAAAAATGATTCCCTTGAGCTGTCTGGAAAAACATCTCTCTTAAAAAAAATATATCATGAAGTATGATCTCATGTATCTATAGCATGCTTTTTAAACCCTGTTTATGAGTGAACTACTAATCATGAATTGAATAGGCCTTGATGTTCCTTGGACAAGGAGCCCCATAAAGGTAAAAATCCTTGTTTTTGTTTTTTTCAACAACTTGTCTCATCTCTTTTACTGATTGACAGAGTTGACAAACTGAATTTTACTTTTGCATGTAACCAATCTCTTCAACTTGCTGTCACTATCAGCCTGTGATGTCAGTCAACCCTGCCGTGACAGTTGAGCTAAAACAGATCGTGTCTGAACAGTGAGAGCTTCCAAGTAAAAGTAGACTGGTGGACATTTCATAAAGGCAAAGGTCATGCCTCAGTTTTAGCAGAGGTGTTTCTATTAGATAAAGACAAAGTGCCTCAATATATTGTATTATTGTTGGAATGACGAGTGAATGAGAGAAAAGAGATTACATAACAAATGTCCAAATGCACACAGCTCACTGACACAGCCACATAGAGCATCTAAGGAGCCTCTTTAGAATGTCAAGATACAATACATAGTGCAACTCTCCCTGCCCTCTGCAATAAAAACACATGAAGCTACAGCGAGCACCTAGCACATCTCTGTGATTGGCCAAAATATAGATGATGTATTTCTGCCATCTATTATGGTCGTCTTCTGGGGCTTCTCACCACAGACCGTAAATACAGTATTTATAATTATTGGATCTCACCGTGGCGGGCCCACTTTACCGCTTTGCGCACGATAAACTATGCCCCTAGGTTTCATAACTGACAGATTTGGTTGCGTGTGTGTGCGCGTGCGCTTGTGTGTGTGTGTTTGAGTGCGCACTCGCTTGGCACGGCTGTAACTTAAAATCCCACTGAAATGGGTACTTTAGTTGGTGACCGAGTCCCGGTCTCACCTCCCGCGCGAAGGTAACAAATCAGTGTCAGTTGGCCACTCCCGCGCTTAACAACTGTGACGATAGCAATGCCTGCCGCCGTGCCTGCGTAACTCGGTTCTGGTAATTTTTGTACCACTTTCCCTCAATATTTCTCCCGATCTGATAAACCTAGAAACCTGTTTAACATCTCATTGTAAAGGTAATCTTAAGACTAACAAGACGATCCCACTTTCACTCCGGAAACCTCACTGTTGTTATAGCATTTACGCATTTTGCAGAACAAGTGTTTTGTTAATCTAAAGTTGCATTTTAAATTATATTCCATTTCGGAGTTTATTATCTCAAAAGCCAAACTCAGATTCTCACTCAGATTTCTGAGTTTCACTTGAGACAGCAATACTTGAACTGTGTGAGCAAGTGTTATTTGTGGGAAGTCAATGTGTGGTTTTATATGATTTTTTAAAAAAAGGTACCCCCTCTCCTATGATCGTTTCATTTCTCTTCTTAAATATCGTGTCATTTTTCCAACATTTCTCTTATCAATATTTTGGGAATATTTTAGCCCAGTTAAGAAATAGAGAAACATACAGAGGATTCCCATTTTCAAAAGCTGAACGAACTTTGAAGAACTTGTGGTGGCAGAACACAGTCAGTCAAGCAGAAGGCACAGAAAAGGCGACCGCTGGCGTATTGTAAATTTGCGTTGGACATGTCACATTCTCTTGGCCTTTGGTGTTAGAATTACAATGGACTCACGGTCAGTACATTAAAAAACCATCTGCAAAGCTTGCGTGGACAAGATAAGACATATATGGAGTTGTGGGGAGGAACTAAATGGGGAGATAAGACATTTAGAAGGTTGCGTAGTATTTTCTGACTCTACTCTAAAGAGGAGAGAATTAATTTTCAAAAACAACTGACGGAGAAAGAAGACACGTTATTCTGAGTTAGAGCACAGACCCCTTAGCCCTAGGGCTGGCCCTATCTGTTCTCATTTACACACCGTACTTGACTCACACAACATCACACCACAGGAATATCACAGCCACTCTTTCATTGGCAACCACTACCTCAAATACATCATGAGTCGCATTTATAAAGACCTCACTGCATTTATTGTAAAAGAAACAGTAGAAAACACCCACGACCAAAACATGATTGACACCGCTTACACTCTCAGAGAAAAATTCAATAAAATAAACAATGCATTTAGGGACGTTCACATCCACATCTCACAAGGCCAACCAGTGCCAAAAGACAGACTACCACATATTGACACAAGCATCAAAACTTACATGTCATTAAGCAGGAGACACTTTAGAGAAAAAGTACTTTTCCCAAACACCACATTCTAAAAAAAACACTGCATGCCGTGGATACAAACATATATGGGTTTGATTTGGCTTTACATGGGGAACAGGGTGGTGAATGTATCCATGCTTCTGTAGCAAATCTAGAGAGAAGAGGAGCTGGAACACGCAATATGGAACAGCAGCTGAAAGTTGTAATGCAATCTCAGCACCCCATGTCAAATCCAGAACTACAGTCCAATGTGCCTCCGACAAAGAAAAAAAGGTGATACTGCAGTCAACTTTTCACTCCTCCAAAACCATGGACTTCCCACAAAAACAACAAAGTGAGTTTTGATATTTGACTATTTCTGGTGTATTTTATGTGAATTTGAAGAACTGTTTAAGTTTTTTAAACTTGGAATTTCGATTTAAAAATCTATACCCCCAAAGTGCAACGGTAAAATATGAGGCATTTTTGGAACGCTATATATAGGCCTATTTATTGTTATTTCATACAATTATGTAACAATTTTGCATCTTTCTCAGTTAGCGCAGAAGTTTCCTCTTGCTCCAAATGGGTAAAATAAAATGACGACAAAGTCGCCGATTGGTGTATTTTGTGAGTTTAATTGTCCTAAAAATGAACTGAACAATGCTGTCAGTGGGACAATGGGAATTCCCCTGACCACGAGTTCATAACCCTGTGACCAGGGTCAGATTACAAGATGTGGCGCGCTGGCTGCCTGCAAACTAAAATACCACTTCCTAACAGCCATGGACAGTGTGTGTGTGTGTGTGTGTCTGTGTGTACAACTTTGAGGAGAAGGTAAATTTACGGAACGAGAATTGCTGAGATTGTATAATATAAAAGACTATTTCATAACACAAATCAATAGCCCACAAAAAAAACCCCAAAGACGGCTAGACCTAGTCAACAGTTACTGGTGAGGGACTAGAGTCTTAGGGGAAGCCGCGGAAGACAACAAAAATAAATGATGGAAAAACATAATCTATATATATATATGAGGCATCGTGGTGAAATCAGGCATTCGTCAAAATAATGAAATCGAAAAAACTGGCATTTTTCTGTCGTTTCACAATTTTTATCAAAATTTTGTTTTTTGTGACTCAGCACCTTTAAGGTCCATTTAAAACCACATTTCTGTTTGGATTTTACTGAAAAATATTGATTTAAGGCACAGAAATGTTAATTCGCTGTTTGTAATCTCAAGCTCAGGAAGTCACCAAATTTGGTGGCCATTTTCTCGCTAATTTTACTTCTGAAACCAAGCTACTCCCACCTTCTTCAATTACAAATATATCTCGACTTCTATTCATGATAGATGAGTACTCTTTTCACTGAAAGCAAGGCAAATGAACAAGCTGTAAGATGATACCAATTACTCCACATGTCCAAAAATTGATGAGCGCCTGATTCCACCGTGTCTTGACATAATTTGGGCCAATCACAGAGGTGTGCTAGGTGCTCCCTGTAGTTTCATAGATCTATAGTCTCTATAGTTGTTTTTTTCCTGAGCGTCCGGAGAAATAGAGTTCAGTATATATTTTCCAGAGTGTTCGGAGAAATAGAGCTGGCCAACTTTTGTCGGACTTGAGTCCAAATGGCCACCTATCTCGGGTGAGAATAGGGCAGGCAAGCCTTTTGGCTATTCTCATCCGGTGTGCGTTCACCGTGAGTGATAGGCCAACCAGAGTATCGCTCACCCTGAACAAACGTTCCAGCACTCTTGTGTCGAAAGCATGCACTTTTGTCTCTGGGCAGTGAGAGAGAAAGAGAGAGAGGAGCAGCGCGAGAACTTCCGGGCAAAAACAAAATGGCGACCCACGTAGTTCGGCTCGATTCGAAAAGTGAAAATAGCCGTAGCATCTTTGTAGACAACCAAATTAATGTACTTTTGTGCTATAACGTCATTTTTTTCCTCGTTGTTTTTGTCAATTTAATCGTCCACACCGATAGACAGTAGGCTAGCTATTCAGAAAGAGAGAAAGGGAGAGAGAGTGGGTAAACAACGAATGGTCCAGCCGGCAGCCGGTCCCACATCCTGCTCAGTAGCGTAGAAAGTGAGCCATTTTTAAAATTACTTGAGAGGCGAAAAATGTTTTTACATTATAATTATTAGGCCGGCTCTATTTCTCCGAACGTTCGGGATAAACTTGCTCTCTATTTCTCCGAACGGTTTCCGTTCTCGAAATTTGTTGATAATTTATAATAAGCGAATGGAGTGGCCCGTGCGTGTGTGTGTGAGTGTGTGTGTGTTGTGTGTGTGAGTGAGTGTGTCGGTGTGAGTGTATGTGTCGGTGTGTGTAAGGTGTGAACGGGCGGGGGGATTTTTTTTAAACATTCATGGATTTCAGTTTTTGCTGGGTGACTAAATGCCAAATAGGTTACTGCCAAAGTCAAGCAGTCTTGTTTTCTCGCAGTACCTTTTGAAGGTATTTTCAAATGAAGTATAGTCGGGGAATGTAGCCCCAACCACAACTGAAGTATCTGAATATTCAGACATTTAAAAATCTCTAGCTCTAGAAATTGAATTCGAATTCGATGCAAGAAAAATGCTTCTTCCCAGTCCTCTCAGAAAGGCAGAATGAAAGGATGACGCTTAAATCTCACAAATAACCCAAAAATCTCGAGATCGGAAACCGTTCGGAGAAATAGAGTTCAATTTTATTTTCCCGAACGTTCGGAGAAATAGTCACTTCGTTATTATTATTCGTTCCCAACCACTTCTATTTGTTTTTTTTACAATAAATAATCTGCCGCCGACTTGTTATAGATGGAGTCAGGGAAACATTAACAACTCACGGCATCCCCCCGACCCAAGCTCTCCGGCTGGAGGCAGAGAGACCTCTTTCTTCCCGCGACATCCAAAAGGGTACATAGACATAGAGGCCAGAGGGTGGCGGATAAAAGGAAAGTTCCCAACCACATGCAGTAAGCCATCAAGGGCCTGGTGGTTTTATCGGCCTGCGAGAGGTCAGGGGGGAGTCCTCGCCTCATGCCCACACCGGAGCGGGAGCTAAATTCTCACCAGGAGGGCGGGGGTGAGAATAGTGAATAGGGAGACATGGGACATGGGCATGGGCATGGGCATGGGACTGTGTCGGTGATTCTCACGGGGCCGGTCTTGTTTCCGGGTGAGAATAGCCGACATTGGCAGTCTCACCCGGGATGAGAGGTCAATCGTATTTTTATTCTCATTCGGGGTGAGAGAATCTTGTTTAGATTTCTAGTTAAAGTCCCAGAAGCTAAAGAAGGCCTGAGACTGAGTAGATCTCTAGGGTTAATAAAGCGAAGGACAAGGCTAAGTTCAAGTGCTATTAGGTAGGAGACCGGCGTTATGCAATACAAGTACAATAAATACAATAATGCAAAGAAGAAGATTAAGCCATTTATAAGTCTGAAGTCCAAAATATACATAAAACCCTTACCCTGCAGTTCCGCCGAAGAGAAACTTAATTCCCTTCCCAATTTGTTTGGGAGAATCATTCGTGGACGCAGACATCTTTGAAGATTGCAACCTTTACCTTGACCTTGTTATGGTTTCGTTAAATAGCATAAGCCTACGAATGATGAATTTGAGTTTTTAAAGATCTAGATTGTCCTGGTTTGTCCCAGGACTGCAAGCTACATTGTCGAAGCCCAATTATTCTTAACAGGAAATATTAGAGTACAAAGTCGTATGAGAGCATATTAATCGACAAGAGAGAAATCACTAATATTTTTAACAGTTCATTTGCTAAAATAGTTCCATTACTTTAACTTACAGCATTAACGCAATCTCTATGATATGGAAAAAAAAAGTTTATTTGGCAAAATTTGTGCTCCGTGAGGCTGTAAAACTAGCATCGGCGGCCGGTCAAAGATACGAACGACGAACAAAATCGAACGTAAACAACAAGAGGTCTTGAAGAGGAGCACGCTGCTTGGCTTGGCTGCCTCTGCTTTGCTTGTGACCAACCTGTTGTTTGTTAGTCGAACTCTGTTGTGTCTTTAACTTAACCACACCCTTATTTATGGCCTATGACTAGATGAGTAGACTTCTTTGCAAATTTTGAAATTGAATTGGTGTATAGAATCTAGATTCTAGATCTAGAACAAGTTGTATGTGGTGTAGAATTTAGATCTATAGATCTATAGATCTAGATATCTAGATCTAGATTCTAGATATCTAGATCTAGAAGATCTAGATCTAGATCTAGATCTAAATTCTAGAAGAAATTACGCTACTCACTGCAACACCACTGCGCGGGATATGGGACTGGCCGCCGGCCAAACCATTCGTTGTTTACACACTTAGAATCTAATGGTGGCAGGCCTCTCTGCTCTCAATATGGTTGGCGCTCTGTGGAAATTGCCTTCCCGTTCCTATTGTCAACCTGAAGATTGTGTGTTTTAAAAAAAAAATATTATTAAATTTTGCCAGGAGGGGGGCAAGCTGAAACCCCCCACTAACTTACTAGGGAGACAAGCCCCCTCGTACCCACCATCAATCAGGGGGGCAAGCTCCCCTGAAACCCCCCCGCTGTTATGGCTAGTGCGCATTAACACACAAGAAGTAAACACGGTGCGTCCACCAAAGTTCAATCCGGCCAAAATAAATTTTGAATACAAAAAAAGCGAAAAAATATTACTGGCTAATAATAATATATGTGCTAGATCTAGTGTTCACTACTTACCCTATCCATTTTATATGAATAGCCACTTTTGTCCTTAACAATCACTTGTTTCTTATGTAAACAGAGGGGAAGGCAATTTCCTAAGAGCCCCATATGGTTCAAGGAACAGCGAGCGAGTAGGAACGTAACGAGACACGAGCACAAGAATTCTTGCAGGGCGGTAGTAAGGGTTGTAAATTATTCAGATCAAATAAGCGTGGACGTTAAATCGTGTTAACTAGATCTGGATCTAGAATCTAGTTTAATAATTCGATCTAGATCTAGATTTGGCTGCCTTTATTCTCTCCCCGGGTATCTAGATTAGTTTACCAGGAGATTGACAAGGTGTTAGAAATATCCTGCCCTTTTGTGTTGTGGGTGACAGCGTAGGCCAATGAGAGAATTTTTTTTAAAAAAGGATCATTCTTTGAAACTTTATACAATTATCTCCGGCATGGGCAGGACTTGTTGATAAAGATGAACATGAGCATTTTTCTGATTTTTTTTCACATGTGGTCCTCTCTTTGTTGTTGGCAAAGGGACCTCATCATACTTTAAACTTATCATGTGCCATCTGCGGTAGACATCAGCGGTCATGGTTCTCAATTCATTCCATTGCTCTGATGCCCTTAAAAAAGCTGCGCTACCCTGATCTTTCTCCATTAACCATCTGTAGGTTCTAGTAGGTTGTCAAGGGCCAACCCCAGGGCTGTCCATTATTACAAATTTGGCTGAATTGTTAAGATTTCTATTCAATTTTACAGAAATGTGTACTACCACTGATTCTGATTTTCTTTAAATTTCGGCTACCCCAACCCACTGCCAACCTTCCTGGTGTATAGGCTTATAGAAGCTATAGGGGAGAAAAACTACCAGACCTGGACAGTCTACTCCTCTAAGTCACGTGCAGTTGTCTTACTTTAATATTCTTTGCATTGAGCCCTTGTCGCTGCTCAGTAACTTTTTGCTCTTTGAAAAACATTTTAGACTTCAGATGTGCTAGAGTCAGGAGTACTTAGGCAAACATTAGGTTGACAAGGTGTAATATCCCACACCCTTTTTTTCGAGTTGTGAGTGACAGACTTGTAGGCCAATGAGAGAAACAAAATCATTTCATGACTTTCCTTACAAGACCTTTTAAATTGGTGCATTTTGCATTTATAGGTTGTTTTTTATCAAATTTCTGAATTCGAAAATAGTTTCTTTTTTGTGAATTTTATGTCAAACAAATTCCTTTTGAATGAATTATATCTATATCTGTTCCAAATTACAACATTCTAGATCTAGTTCAAATTTTGTGCGAGATATTTAGAAATTCCTCCTTTTCCCGTCACTGGAGCTTTATTGGAGTAGTGGCTAGTGAATCGCTTTCAGGAAGAAATGCCGACCCTAATGAGTGTTTGTGTAATGCCGTAACGTAACGACAGGGGAGATTGAAAGCTGTGGAGAAGCGACATGTGCAACTATAGTACTATGCGTGACGCCAGAGAATAGCCATCGATCTATTCAGGGCAATGCCTGAAAATAGCCACTTGCTTGTTTCTGTGGGGCATTTGTCATCAGATGTTGTTATTTCCTAGATGTTTAGACTTGTTTAATAAAATCTGTTTGCCTTTGCTTATAATAATTATGAGATTACAAAGGGGCCTACTTCCATCCAAAATATTTTCAAAAGTGAGAATTTTTCATTTTCTTTGTTTTTTGTTTATTTCAGAAGTTCTTGTCTTGTGTGAAGGTGTCCTGAAAGGTAACGATGCCGGGATCAGAGCTTGTTTTAGTTATTGGCAGCGGAGGTAGAGAACATGCTCTTGCCTTGAAGCTGTCACAGTCTCAGAATGTCTCTAAAGTTTTTGTGGCTCCAGGGAATGCAGGAACGGCTGGTGTGGACAAAGTAACCAATGTTGGTGAGTGTTTAGAATAGAAGTATAGTCAAAAGTGGTTGTCTTTGACCTGTGGACATTTTGAACAGTGTCATTATGATTATTGATTGTATGTGTATACTAAAAACACAAGGGGGGGGGGGGAGTGGTGGTATGTGACTGTACATGAAGTGATTGTTTTGGACAGGGGGTCACTGGAGCAGGTTTGAGCGTCAATAATCAGCGAATATCTTGAAAACAGTTTGTATAATAATGTGCATTTTTATCAGTTTACATGATGAGATGAAGTGAGCGTGACATTTTTTTATTATGAACATAGTATACAAGTGATTTTATTTTTTTTAAACTCCACCAATACTGGCTTTTTTTGCTTTGCTGTTCCTAATGACATGAGAATTTTTTGCTTTGCTGTTCCTAATGACATGAGAGACAGATGTTTCAAGGATTTAAAAAAAAATTACTGTGCCTTTGCAGTTTGTAATTGGTCCATTAAATATCAGGCTATGTTTCAGAACTAAATAAGAACATCAAAGCAAAAAAAAGAAATTAGTTATCTGGTTATTTAATTTTCTAAATTGTTTTTGAAAAAAATTGGGGTAAAAATTGTGCAATTCAGAGGCTTTTTTCATAAAATATAAAACAGATTTAGGCGAAAAAGCCAAACAAAACTTTATGGCAAAACGATAGACTAGACTTGTTATATTTTCCTAAACCAGGACAATGTGACAAGAGGTCTGAATAACTGATTTTTAAAAAAAATTTAACTTTTTGTTTAATGATGAGGTAGTTGGCAGAACATTGGCATCCTTGAGTTCATCTCCAAAAGTGAATGTTATTTAGTTAACATCACTTGTTTGGTACTTGTTTTAGATAAATTTCGCTTTCTTCGTTTGAACTGTGTAATGTAATGAAAATATGCTTATACAATTCTTTTCATTTTGCACGAAGTCTTACAGGAACTTGCTTCTTATTCTCTTTCTAGGTCTGGATTTGAAGGATTTTGAAAAAATTTCCAGCTGGATCAAAGAGAATGGTGTCACCTTTGTGATGGTAGGACCAGAAGACCCACTGGCTGCTGGTATAGTGGATTTTCTTAGTGAAAGAGGTACGCTGCACTTGTTTAGAAGAAGTAGTTCAGAAGCTTTTTGAGATTTTTGCTTACCAGGAGTTCATGCATTAGATGAAGAACTGTCAAAATAGATCTGATTTAATTTTGGTCATTTTCAGATTTAGTACCAAAAAGGGGCCCCGGTGTAATTTGTTTACCCCCTCAGAGATAAAGAGTTATTTTTTCTTTTTTGCTTCATAGTTCAGCATCCAAGTGTTCTGCTTACACCCCTCTGTACTCTGTTCAAAAGGTGCTATTGTTTTAATGAACATTGCAGTTACTTGTCGTTGTAGGTCAACACTGGTAGGTCTTCTTTTTTTTCCCCTCTCTCTCTTTCTCTGTCATCTGTCTGCTTTGCTTTTTCCTTTCTCTAATTGATCAATATTATGTTGGGGCTCCTTTCTTTTTTTCAAACAAACAGTTTTGCAATAGTCGAAGTGTAAGTGTGAGATGTGCATCAGGATCCCTTATTCTTCATAAAATGTAAAAAAAATGTTTCCTTCCTTTTTTGCACCTAAGGTATCCAGTGTTTTGGGCCAACAGCTGCCGCTGCCCAGATTGAGTCCAGTAAAGACTTTGCCAAAAAGTTCATGATTCGACATAGCATTCCAACAGCAAAATTTGAAAGTTTCACTGATGCTGACAAAGCTTGCAAGTTCATCAATGAGTAAGTTTTTGCTTCTGTCTGGTTTTTGAGCACAACTCATTTTGATGAAGACCATAGCAGAGATGCCAACCAGTACGATTTTACGTATTTTAGTACGATTTTGGCCGAAAATACGTGAATACGACTTTTCATGAAAAAATACGCATCCTGGAATGCGAAAACTACGAGATTCAGCTTGGGCGAGTAAACTTAATTATCTCAGGTCCCATCTTTTCTCAAAATAGTATCAGTATCGCAGACCTGGAATATTTGAAAACCAAGTCTGATGTGGTCAGTAAGTTCATTTTTGCCGGTTGCGACGTGATATTATATTCGTTCATCTTTTCCCCGTCTGGAGAGAATGTTTCACTTTCACGCGAAAAGGCAGCTATGGCGGTAGGCAGAAGCGTATGCGACACCGAGGCTCGATCGGGAAAATCAAGATCTACTTTCGCTTTCGTTACCACCAAGAAGTTTGCCAGCAGTTGTCTGATAACGCAACATTTGTGGCATGCAGGTTGTGCAGTATAAACACAATGTGGCCGTTCAAATAAAATGTAATAAATACTATGACTCGTCGCTGTGCTGTCACTTGTGGAAAAAAAAGAAAAGAAAATACAAGCGTCGTCCGATTTTTAGATTGTCTGGCTCGCCATCGTGACCGGTCACTGACCCTGTGCGCATTTGCGTCATAAATAAATGTGGCATCGTAGTGAGTAAACACCGTCTTTGGTGGGAGTAACGGCGTTGCGAAGTATAGGACTACGGATTAGGGGAGTAGATTATTGATTTTTTTGGGGTTTAAGATACTATCGGGGGTTTAAGGCAACACCAGAGGACAAAAATTTGGAAGCACTTTTCAGAATTTTGATTAGAGCTTTCTGCAAAGCGCGCGTTGGTGCAGGCCGTGTGCGGAATTGGGACCCCTCATACTTTGCAAGTCTGTGTTATTGAAATAAAGTGTTCGCGTTTGATTGGATGGGTGATAGTATATTATACCTACTTGGATTGGTGATAGTAAATTATACCTACAGTGTATGTTGTAGCTTTCTGTTCAAGACTGGCAGATTTTCAGTGTCACTGCATCTTGCCCTACCACAGTTGTTACAATTCTCACAGTGCATGAGCCATTCAAGTTATTGCTTTTCTCTGAGTTTGAGCAATAATTTGAGTCTGTCAGTTCATAATATGAATCATGACACCCAGACTGGTTCTTGATAGTCGAAATTCTTGTTCTAAGCCCTTCCGAACTCTCAAAGCAGGATTTATTTTTTATATAATAATGAGAGGAAAATATTATATAATAGACTGAAATATTTAAGTCGAACAAGACCCTAGTACAACATTGAACACTGACATGTTGTTGACTGGATACATGTACAGTCGAACCTGTGTAAGACGGAGTCGCAAGGGAGCCAGAAAAAAATTCCGTCTTAGACAGGGGAATTTAGGTGGAGATGGAGGTTGGGGGGGGTTCAAAGGCCCAGCCGGTGAGATCAAGGATCGCTTGTCTGATCGGCAAGCAGTGGTCAAAACTTCACACCTCTCAATTGCTATCCTGCCTGATAATGACATGTGTCAGCCTTACTTATCCAATTACCACCAGTGCTTGCCTTTCATAGGACCACTGTTTGACCTATTAAATACAGAAACGTATGAACATCTCCCTTGCCTCCATCCTTAGCCCCACCCGCCAATGCCAATGCCACCCCTTACTGCCATCATTGTAGCAACGATTTTCGGAACTCTTTTCTCGGCTGGCCGTATGATCAGGGCGGCAGGCATTGGTCAATCTAATTTCACACCTCTGGCTTCTGGACCAAGGAAAGTTTCCGTAGTGGCTCGCTACTCGAGCACTCTCACGGGCAGTCGTGAGATTTCACACCCACACTACACTGAACATCTGCATCGCTCAGGGCTCACATGATGGGGTAGCCTGAGAAAGCCTTGGGCGAGGCTAACAAAATAAAGCTTTAGTTCTGGTATCCTCGGCCTAGGGTAGCATCTACCCCCAAATTGCACCCATTCTGCCTTTCCTCGCCCAGTCGCATGACCATAGCGTTAGTTTAGAGCCAGCGGAACTAAACTTGCGAGTTTTGTTTCAAATCGGGGCTGAGCGGGCAAAGCATTTTCCGTCTTAGACAGGTGAAATCCTCAGAAGGGAGCGGATTTTTCTTTCCGTTTCCGTGTTGGGCAGGTTTCCGTTTTATACAGGTAATTAAAGAGGAATATATCAAGGGGGGAGCGGGGAAATTCCGTTAAGACAGGTTTCCGTTTTATACAGGTTTCCGTTAAGGCAGGTTCGACTGTATATTGTACGCGTGTGTGCTCCCTTTTTCGAGCTGGTGAGCTAGTAATTTTTTTTGCTGGACACCCTGGACATTTTACTATTTCTGGTTGGGCGACCATCAATGATTTATTTATAGAGGCACCAGCCATCCATGTCCAGGTGTTGTTTTAGCCTACTGGTTTGTCGGTCTGTCGTGGGGAATACACATTTTCACCTGAAAATACACATTTTCATATTTCCCAATACTCATTTCAGTTTTCTGTGGTTGGCATCTCTGCCATAGGCAACTGAGCAATTCTGAGACTTTTATATTTTGGTCCTTCCATTGATCCTGTGGTGTGAGGCAGAGTCGCTACGGAGTAAAAAAACATGCATGAGATTTCTGGTTTGACTGGGGGATGATGGGTGTGGATTTCTAAGGATTTGTGAAAATGCTTGATTGGTCAGAAATAATAAAAAAGATAATTAAAAGTGCTTTGCTTTTGACTTGATAAAATATGAAAAAATGAATAACTAATTATTTAATAGGCTTTCTGCAGAGTATGCCTTGTGGAAATTGGACAATGCTGTGAAAGAATTTAGATTTTATTTTCATGGTTATCGAAAGAAATATCTGTGTATTGATGTTTACTTGATAATCCCAGAGTTCATTCATTGAACATGTTCTCGTTTTGGCATTATCTTACTCAAGATTTTATTTTCGTCTTATTGTTTTTTATTTATGCAGTGCTGATTTCAATGCGCTGGTAGTGAAGGCCAGTGGGTTGGCTGCTGGGAAAGGCGTTGTGGTGGCGTCGTCACGACAAGAGGCAAGTGAAGCAGCACGGGAAATGCTGACTGACAAGAAGTTTGGAGGAGCCGGAGATGTGGTTGTTGTAGAAGAACTGTTGGAAGGGCCAGAAGTCTCGGTGAGTCAAAGGCTGGTTTCTTGAAAAATCTTTCAAGAACGTGTCTGTTTATCCCCTAGCTCTTTGTGGTTTAGAATTATTGATTGACTCTTAATAATATGTAGTTTTAAAGACAAAAATTGCCCTTTGAATGTGATTATTTAGTGCCTTTTAAAAAACTGACCAGAGCCATTCTGACTTCACTTTTGTAATGCGGAGTATAAAATCTCAGTTATACAGGCTTCCATATGTTTGAAGTCTAGCTCAGTAGCAGCTTTGAATAAACTTAAATATTGTTCAAATGTGAGTGTTACAAAGGCTTCGAAGAGATACATTTTTATGAGGAGAACAGAAATGGAGCAGAAAGATTACATTGTGTAAAATTCAAATTTTGCACTTCTCAATAGGATTTCCTTACTTGATTCTCAAGGGGTGTAAAGGGGGCTCTCGTGGCCTAGAGGTTAAGGTGTTGGCCTCTCATTCAAAGGTCCCGGGTTCGAATCCGGGTAGCGACCGAAAAATTTTCTTCTCTAAAATTGTCTCCATTCACCTCCTTTCCTGCTCTCTAGCAATGTTCTGTTGTCTGCTTTCAATTCCACTTTCTGCTCCCACCCCCTCCACTCCTTTGCCCCCTCCTCTGGGCTCCTGACTCTTTCTGCAGCCTTTCTACTGCTACTGACTCCTTGGCTCCTCCTTACTGCTGTCTTTCTGCCACACCCCTGATCTTCTGGTGGGAAAGATCTACACCTAGCCTTCTCGGACAAGGGCGAAAAATCTCGGAAGGCTCGTGTGCAAGTTGCGCACGTTAAAGATCCCTTGGTGGTCTAAAATCGATAAGAGTAGGCTTCGGCCGCCACCCGGGCAAAATTCAAAATTTCCTACCAACTGAAAATATTAGGTGTGTCCCGCGCGCTCATATGACCTATGCAGTTGCGAGCGCGGTAAAACACTTTACAAAAACAAAACAAACAAAAGGGGTTTAATCAGAGTTTTTTCTATCATGTCTGCCTGAGTTCAAAACACAACTGACGCTATTCCTGGAGCCATTGAACATTTTTTGGTGAGGTTTTTCGCTATTTCTCCTTTCAACTCATTGGTTGATGTTCAGCCTTAGACTTACAGACCGTTTTTATTGTCTGCTTTGTCTTGTGGTTCAGGTTCTGGCATTTAGTGATGGTCACAACGTCAGCCTGATGCCGCCTGCACAGGATCACAAAAGGCTTGAGGACAAGGATGAGGGCCCCAACACTGGTGGTATGGGTGCAGTGTGTCCTTACCCGGAGGTGAGTGAGATACGATTAGATTAGGTCTTCACTGTGTTGTACAAACACTGACTTATTGTGTCTACATTTTTGTCTCAGGTGAGGAAAGATTATTACTTAAATGTCCAAACACTGGCTTATTTCATACTGGGTATTTTTCACTCTTGGCGACACTATTTTGAGAATTCAAAATATTCATGAAAATCAAAGAGCAAAGTGCGAAATAAAATAGCTTGGGGAAAAAAAGTCCCTGGTGTACAGTACATATCTTTGTCTTAGGTGAGGAAAGATTATTAGGCCCTCAATTCATGATTTAAACTTTTGCATAGTTAAAATTTTGCTTCAGCTTATATTAGGTTTTGAATTTATTGACTATGGACCTGCGAAGGCTTAGATAAAAATAAAGTCTTCACATTATTGTATAGAATTTTGTGTTGGGTAAGGTAAGAATAGGTATTGACTTTGTACAGATTTCCAGACTTTTATTTAGGATGATGCACATTGTGTTATCCCAAAGCACTGACAAATGACATTTCTTACACACAGTATCTGAAATCTTCAGAAATAGGCACAAGAATACGGTTTTGAAGTATAATTTGTCAATGTATTTTGGAAAACAATTGTTTTGTAATTTAGCCATGTTTATATATTTTTTTGTCAGCTGTCGGAAAGTGACCAGGAGAATATCAAGAAGAATGTAATCGAGAGGACAGTGCGAGGTCTTGCTGAAGAGGGTATCAAATATGTTGGTAAGTTACAAGTTTCCAGTGTTTATCTGAATACATCCTCACTACCACACACATACACACACACACACTCACCCACCCCATAATCGTTCAGTTGACCCCGGTGAAAAATTGTTTTAGCTCCTGTTGTAAGATGAGCACATAAATGATGTAGTTTATCTCCTTATGCTGAAAAATGTACCTGTGAAAAACCCTGTTGTTATCAGGAAAAAGATGATGGAAAATAAGCTTGGAAAAAACTCTAGCTATCAGTTTGTAGTGTAGAAAAGGCCTGTGATGGATTCAAGTTATCTGCTGATGGTGAGAAATATTCCTGCTTCAGACAAGGGCTTTTTTCAAGTTTTATGTCAAATTTTACATACAGTCAAATCTGTGTAAGACGGCCACCCGTTGTCAAGGAGAAAAGTGTCCGTATAAGACAGGTGGCCGTCTTAGGCAGGACCGATCAAGATGAAGAAAACAAACGATTCCCATCTGAGGTTCCAATCGAAAGTAGCCGCAATGTTGTTGTTGTTTTTGTTGGTTTGTGTTTTGTTTGTTATTTTTATTTTGTTGCTGATTTTGCGCAAAGGTGACAATAAAACCAAATGTGTCAGACGAGGAAGACTGAGTGCCATGTTAAAACAAACACATGGGTCGCCACCACTCGGAGAACGAGCGATGCTTCTGTCACAAGTTCATGTTGACGTCCATTGTTTCTTTGTTACAAACTGTGTAAACAGTGACCTCTCATCTCACTTACGATTTGTGAATGAGTTCTGGGCGGGGCTTATGGGTTATGAGGGATCACACTCTTCCCTCGTCAACAGCTGAAAATTGGTTCCTATTGGTCAACATTGGGAGGGGCCTACGCAACATGATCGGTTGGGGGACTTTCTAACAATAACGACAGGGGAATGGATTATGACGGCTCCCCCACAATGTCAGGGGCCAGTGCATAATTTATGACAAAACATAATGGAGTCACTAAGGTGGCCGTCTAAGACAGGTGTTATTGCTTAGTGTGATAGGAGTTGTGCGTTAAAATATGGTGGCCGCCAGGGCAGGTTCTACTGTAATTTGGTCAAGTTGAAGAAGTCCATACTTTAAAAATATATTTAACAACAGATTAGGAGGATTTATTTTTTTTTAATATGATGAATGAAACTTTATGCTGTCATCACTGTTTGTTTTAGCTTTATTATTTTTCTTTTATTATTAATTAATTTTTTTTGTGGTGGTGGTTGTAGGATAATGCTGGCACAGTTCACTGTCTTTTTTTCCCCCCCTTATGTCTTGCATTTTTTAGCTCTAAATATGTACAATTAAAACAATACGATTCTCTTTGACCAACAGCAACCGCTGAAAAAAGCGGGGGTTTTTTCTTCCTCTTTGTTTCATTCCCCTACTAGATGTTAGTTATAGTTAACTAAACTATTCTATCTCTATTCAGCTGATTTTTATCTTTGGCTTATTTCCCTATAAGAACATAATGCATCTTGCCTTGCAGGCAGCCATATGCCAGTTTCTGGGATATGCCAGCTCAATTATACTGAAGAGTTTCTTTGCTTTTTGGTTGGCCTTTTTTTCTACTTTTAACAGCTAAGAAGTCGTTAAAGTGCACAAAGTTCAAATCATCATCTTTTGCCTTTTTCACCTCTGTATTGGGTATAGGTCTCCAAGAAAGGCTCTCCACCTGTCTGTGTTTTCTACATTCTTTTCCACCTCCAGCCCACTGTGTTCCGTATGCCTGAGATCTGCCTCTAGTTCTGGCTCCCTGGTGGATATCAGCCTTCCTATCTTTCTTCTCCCCTTGGGGTTTTCATCTCAGGCTTTGTCTTGTCATGCAAAGTTCAAATGCGATTGAAAACTGTTCATCTGTTCTGGAAAAATGGCGAGGTGCTCAGTCCCACCTGCCCAAGTATCAGAGGTGTGAAAGTCATAAGCAAAAATTTACCATCAACCATGGTTACATGAAGAGCTGAAGGAACCTTGTTTTTGGCATGCAGTTCAAACTGTTTACTTCTAGAAATATAATAAGCTCGGGTTCCTTCTCCTCAATATTTTAACAAGCTTTTGATATTTGGTCTTCTTAACTTCCTCAGGTGTATTGTATGCCGGGCTGATGCTCACCAAAGATGGACCAAAAGTGCTTGAGTTCAACTGCCGATTTGGTGACCCAGAAACGCAGGTGAAAGAATCTTTCCTTCCCTCTTATGGAGTACATTTCTGTTGACATAATGCTGAAGTATAATACCTATGATCACAGTGCCAAGTCCCTCTCTGAGACTGGGAGGAGGTAGGGAAATTGTGTGTCAGTGTGTCAGTGTCCTTGCTGGAAATTGGGAGAAGTGAGTTCCTCCCCCCCTCTAAATGATTTATGTTGCATTGCATCCGGATCTCCTTATTTCAATATTTTGTAATTGTGTTTTCTCTGTACGTCTTTATCCTTAATATGTTGTAAGTGTGGTAGAGAGTGGATTTAAGGAGGGGTGTGAAAGGATGTGTGTTTTTGTGTGTATGTGGGTATATTTTGTAAAATAGATACAGAATAGCAACACTGACAATTTCTTTCAATTATGAGTCAGGAAAGTAGATTGTCGAAAAAGGCATAAACCTAAAATTCAAAATTCTGGTCCAAAGCTTTGACTAATAAAACAACAGAACAAACTCTGAGCACTTTCTCCTTCACCCTGTACTGGTCACATTTGTTTTCATACAGATCATGTACATCTCCTGCCTTTTTGTTTTACAAGGAGAATTTTACCCCTCATAACATTTTTTGTTCTTACTGTTTACCTGTTGTATTTTGATAAAAATTGTTGTTGTTGTTGTTGTTATTGTTGTTTTTTATGCACTTAGTCCCATTATCCAAGTGAGAGCAATTACTAATTTTATTTTAGTGTATTTCTGTGGCCAAATTATGTGCTTATTTCTTATGGATTTTGACTCTACCCTTTTTTTTTTAATTGTAAGAATTTTTAAGACTCTTGGGATTATTACAAATACACACATTTGACTGTCAATCCTTTTAACTTTTGATTAATTTTTTACATTTTTTGTTGGTCTATGTCTGCTTGTATTGAGTGCTCTTGAACACTGTTGAAGTTTTAGAAAATCTTAGGTTTTCAGAAAAATTGAACAAAAATATTCCCTGTCTTTAATCCTCCAGTCCATCATGCAACTCCTGACGTCTGACCTTCTGTGCACCATGAGAGCCTGTGTGGAGGGGAAGTTGCCTGAAGTAAAGCCGACCTTTGACACCTCGCGCTCTGCTGTTGGAGTGATGGTGGTCAGTGGAGGGTACCCTGGCTCCTACAAAAAAGGCCTCCAGATTTCAGGTAGGGCGGGGTCCTTACTTTTTTTTTTCCCTTTCCGAAAACCATGTTTTGATGGGGGGGAAAAAACTTATAGATTTCCATACAGATTTCTCAACTCTTTTTTACCTTTTCTTAAATAATAAAGGTTGTAAAGCGCATAGAGCATGCTCTTGAGCATGGATATGCACTATATAAATGCAATTATTATTATTATTAAATTTTCTAAACTGAGACATTGGTGATGAGTATTTAGGAATTGCAAGAGAAATTCGCTTTGTGCTGTGGTGTAACCAGTAGTGAATGCCAAGATTTTATGGTATTTCCATAGCGACCAAATAGCTGATCTGTGTGAAATGTTGTGAATTTTCCTTCCTTTTCAAGTCATGTGTTAGAAGTATGATTAGACAATGTAGGTGAATGAAGATTTTTTTTGTTTAAGTAGCTTCAAGCTCCACTTAACTCAGGTGAAATTTATGTCCCTAGCAAAATTGTGCCATTGATATTCTGTCATAAAGAAGTTTGCATGTAACCACGAATCATGATGGAATGCGAGCTAATTTATGCATTAATTTTAGCTTTCGAAATAAAAGACTTTAAAAAAACATATGAGGACATCATCATCATCATCAATGCCTTTCACCCCTGGCAGGGTATAGGCCACATACAAGCTCCTTCCATTTATCTCTGTCTTGAGCCATCCTTCCAAGCTCGTTCCAAGTGAGCTTCATTTCTCTCATGTCCCTTTCCACGCATCTCCTCCATGTTTCCCGTGGTCTACCCCTGCCTCGTGATCCTTGTGGGTTCCGCTGGGCTTTCTTAAGGTGTGTCCCATCCATCGCAAAGGGTCTTAACGTTCCACGAGCCGATCCGAAGAGACTTGGACTTGGATGATGGTGGAGACTTCTGCCCAGCAGCTTCCTTTCGGCTTTCACTGCCTTGCATCATAAACTCTCCATTTGGAGAAGATCCACGATCAGCCAAGCGGAGATAATGGTTTTTACTTGTACGTGTTTCTGTAACAGGTTCTTTTTACAAGAGAGGTTGTTAGCCTCATGACTCAACCCCCGATCTGGAGGCAGGATGACTCTGTTTCAGGAGTCACTACCTGGTTCGCCATTTAGTCGCCTCGTACGACACGCTAGCACCACGTCAGTCCTATTCTTCTCAATGCCGAGACTGCACGGCTGGCATATGAGGACAAACACATGTATTTCTAAAATATGAATCCTTTTCACTTTTCTTTCATCTGTTTTGTGTTATTTTAAATATACATGTTTGAGTGCTCATAATAAGTGTATAAGAACCAGACTTACGTTGTTTATTTGTGTTCAAAGGAAGTGGGAAACAAAGTGAATTGAGTTGTTGTTTTTTGTTGGCTTTTTCTACATCAGGTGTCTCTGAGGTGGAGCAGACGGGCTGCCACGTCATTCACAGCGGCACCAGTCTTAACTCCAGCGGTCAGCTCGCTACCAGCGGAGGCCGGGTGCTTTCTGTCATCGCCTTGGATCCTTCCCTGAGTGCCGCCAAAGAGCTTGCTACTAGTGGTGCCGCGAAGATTCAGTTTGACGGAGCCTTTCACAGGAAAGATATTGGAGCTAAGATCCTTCAAAGGTGATTAAGTGTGGTTTTGTTTTCATGTTCTGTTTATGAGATAGTGTGTCATTGTCATTAACGCTTTGATGTGACAGTAGAATTTTTACTTCGAAGCCTGAGAATTTAAAGTGACTTAACAACTGTATTTGGGAAAAGAAATGAATGTGCCATGGTCATATCCTTTTGATGACATCAATATTTTTTATAAAATGATTTTGATCTAATTGAAAAAATGAATGTTTTTCAAGACCATTTTTTTTGTCTGCGAATTGTTTTGTAATATTTCATTTCTAAATTTTCTTAAGTTGTACAAGTCTGTGTCACTGTGTAACAGTTTTCTTGTAGCATTGCATGTACTATGTCAATATCAGCTATGCGACATCTCCGAAAGTTTCATAGATTTTTAGGGTGTCCTGAGTAGTCTCTGTACTGTGACCATCAGTTGTAGCTGGAGTTAAATGAGATTATGAATAATGTTCATGTTGGCCTGAATTGTTCCCATCAGAAGTTTTATTTTCTTTGTATTGTTCTCTTGGTATGTTTTATCTGTTGAACGACTCTGTAAGTGATGTAACTTTACAAATTATCTTAATTTCCTTTCGATATAAAAATGCTTATGTCTCATCGAACTCTATGTCTCTCACGGACCCAATGTCTGCCTTTTTTATTTGAATCTCTCCCCTGTCATGTATCGTACTCATTTTAAAGCACTGAACACTTTTACTATTGTTGACTTTCTAGCTGACTAATTCTTTTGAATTACATGAGGACAATTCATTTATGTTGTGACAATCTAATGTGATGAAGGAAACTGAAATCCTATGTTAAGTTTTGCTATTGAATGTGTTCTTTGCCTATATTTTCTTTTTCGTTAGAAGACAGATGGGTAGATCACAATATAAGATTTTCCTAGGCTTAGCTTCAGAAAAATGTTATTGTTAATTAGTTTCAAACTCTTGATAACACTAAAATTAAAATAAAGGCACTGGCACTTTGGAACAGAGTGAAAGGATACTTAGACTTGATCATCTTTGAGCCCTCTTGTCTATTCTCTGAGACACTCTGCTTTTGGCTTCTCTTTCCCTTGCGGTATTCAGTCAATAATTGTTCTTCTGATCTGTACTTTGTATCTTATGTTTCACTCAGCAATTTGAATTTTAATGTTCAGCATATTTTTCCTGTTTAAGTTCTTTGTCTTTTGGAATAGCTGAGCTACAGGTGGCATAAGTTAGATCTTGTATGTTCGTCCTCTCATTGTTTCTGTCTGCAGTTGTAGGACAAAACAATAAAAACCTTTCCAAACAAGAATAAAATTGTTTGTTTATTCTTTCCGTCTCGTTGAAAGAGGGTATTAAATGTTGATAACACTCCTGAAATGAGTTCCTTTCTTTTGTGAGTATTTGTCATTGTTTTCATGCTGACTATTCAGCTTATTTTATGATAGTTGCCTGTTTACTTCTTTAGAACTCTTTCCTCTCTAGAAATGAAAAAAAAAAGACTTGGGCTTCTTGTCAGTGGTCTTTTTAGTCAGAGCCTAGCTTACTATTGAGGAAATTCTGTGAGAAAGATAATATATGTGCTTGGCTGGACTGAACTCTCTTGCTGCTTTTCTCTTTCCACTTGTTATGGCTGGCTTGAATAGGAAAGAGTTTGAATTCTATCAAAGCTTGTTGAGATTGTTCTGTCGAAAGATTTTAAGCGGGTGACTGTGGATGTCTGCCTTAGGCCAGGGGGTTTCCCCGTAAGCGATTAGGCTTTCTTTTTCCATTTCCTTGATTGTGCTCTGTCTCATGCTTCCCCAAACTTTTGACTTCATTTAGCTTTATGCCACTTGGCAGAAGTTGAAGGTTTGTATCAAGTTGTTCTTTGCTTCTGTGAGTGGATGATGCACTCATGCAATTTCAACAGTTGTAAACAAAGGAGAGAACAAAGAGATGTAGACAAAGTCATCCCGAATGTTTGAATTTTGAATCTAATGAAATCATGCTGTTTTTTAAGTAGGTGTCGTGTAAGAAAGTAAAAGACATGTTGTAAAGAAGGAAAGGTATTTAGATTTTCTCTTTGGAAACTTGGATATCACTGGGTCATTGGTCATTGTTTGGGCTTAACGTGCTTTTCAACTCTGCAAAGTTATTTAAAAAGAGAGACCAGAATTTAACGTTTATTTCTAATGGGACTGAGCCAAATAAGACTCCCCAGAATAACCTAAATTAAAAAATGCCCCTTTGGGGATTTGAACCTGTGCTATCCGCTACATGATCCAGCACATAGCCATCTAAGTTAATGATGTGCCCATGGCACTAGGTGACTGTGCCATTGCCAGATCCTCACTTGTCTTCACACCCGTTGGAGAATTCCCTACCTGTGCTGGGCAGATACTTGTACACAGTACTGGTGCTACTCACAGGTGATCTTATTACCAGCACTTACCTTGGGTACCTTTATCAAACATGCAAGTGCCCCCTTCTCCCCCTATCATCCTCACATACCTATTTTGTAGGCATATTACTAGTGATTTTCAGATGAAAAACCACCAAAGGTATTAGATGGCTTTTTACCACCCTTATTCAAAGCAAAAGCCATCATGTGTGATATTTGAGATCTGCTACCGGTAGTGCCCAGCCTTGCTTGCTTCTGTTGGAGAAACAGCAACTTTGTATCTAGTTCTATCTTTGCTCTGTTCTTTTTGCTGCATTTTGTGTAGTTAAAGAAACATTTTTCTAAGCAGCAGCAATGCTCAGGAACATTGAATGTTGATCTTCGTACCTTCCCTGCTGTATTGGATCTGAACTAGGGTACTTGTTTGCTTCTGCATTTACTACTTATTACTCTACTTATTCCACATGGGTGGTTGGCAGGTGCTCTGGTGTGGTTTTCTCCTTCAATTTTATCAAACGTCTGTCATCTTTGTCTCTCTCCTTCTTTTTTGTGTTTGTTATTCTCTTGTAACACCTCTAATCTTCAGCACTTTTGTGACCTAATTGTGTTGCAGGTGCTGTAAAACTCTGTCAGAAACATAAATCAGACCTGCATAAAAAAAATTAATCCCTAGCATACTGTACACACTGATGTGCACAAGATATCCATGAGAGGTCGCCTTTCAATTCTTTTCCATTTTCTTAAGTCTCCTTAAGATGTCTGCCAACTGCCAATGAAGTGACCTACACTGCAACGTGTTAAGTTGTGCAATGCACAACTTCACCCACAAAAATAAAAACAAAAGTTGCCAATTTTCTTCTTGGTCTTCTACATTATAAAATAAAGATGTAGGTATTTTTTCCCTAAAAAACAAGACATGAACAAACTTTAAGATGGTATCAGTAACTCCATATGCCCAAAATTTGACGAGGGCCTGATTCCACCACATCGGGACACACACATCTATGCCAAGACATACTTTTATGATTCGTGCATTTATTGTTGTTTATTGGCTCTGTCTTCTATCATGCTTTCTTCCTTTTTTGGGGGGTTCTTTTCACTGTGCTTGCTGCTCTTCTTTATAATTGTAGATTTTATGCTCCCATTAACACAATTAGATCATTAAGGAGGCAGGGGAAGCTTTGGCCCTGCTTGTCAGGGCCAACTGGGACTGAGAGGGATACAAAGTCCCCACATTCAGACAGAGGCACTAGATCAAAAACCTCCTCATGCGGGAAGAAAACTCTGTACCCTAGAATTACAAGGTACTATCTGCTCAGTACCTAGTTTTGAGAAATTTGACGCTAAAAATTTTGAGTTTCACAACATGTCAAGCTTTTTCGAATGCAGTTCTTTGAACATTTTGATAACGACTCTGAATAATTTTGCGATTTTGATAGAGCAGATAGAACATAAAAAGGTTTCTGATCTCATGTTCTTAGTGACTCAAAATAGCCAAAAATGTTAGATAGAACTTTGTAATTCTAAGGTAATGAACTGTTAACTTGTAAATGCACTGGTGAACTGCTTTACTGCAGCACCACAGAGGTCAGTTCCATTGACCTGATTTGTCTGTTTATGTCAAGAAGGTCATGCAAAAACAAAACAAAATCTGCCCACTTAAGTGTGTGCATAAAATTGGTTCAACTTTAAAAACGGCAAACATTCCATTTAGAATTAAAAAGAAGATGACAATAGTAATGTGAATTCAACACCTTTTGTCCACATAATGTCAAGGGTTGGAGACCCCTTTCTGTTTTCTTTGTCCTTATGTTTTTCTCTAGCTTTCTCACTTATAGTGGGTGGTTCAAGAGTGTTCAGGTAATATTGCTCCCTCTTTCCTATCAAACTTCTGTCATCCCTTTCTCTCCTTTTCTGCATATGTTTCTCTTCAGTAACTCCGTCAATCTTTGGTACTTATATGACCTAATTGTGTTGCAAGTGTCATAAAACTTACTAAAACTAAAGCTGTCGTTATATCATCGACATATTTGGGATATTGGTTAGGCTCTTTGCTGTTGCACTCTGAAGATGTGAATTCGACTGGTGTAGACGGAGGTCTTGTATGAAATATGTCTGTCTCACTGATGGAATATTATGTCCCACAGGTTTTTTTGTGATGAGCAGGGTTATAGCAGCCCATGTCTTAAATTATGTAGTTTGTGTTAAAAGGTTTCTAAAACATTAACGGTCATGTGCCATCAATTGTGCTATTGTGCTTCTGTGCCACAACATTTTTAAAAAATCAATTATTATGCATATCTACATCTCTTACTGACAGTAAATAATATATTTATTTTTCACAACAGCAAAAATGTTGATACATCCTCATCACTGAGCCTAAAAGCAGTTGATGAAGAGGAAGGCTTACAGTACAAAGACGCAGGAGTCGACATCATGGCGGGAGATGACCTAGTTCAGGCCATCAAACCTTTGGCCAAGATGACCCGACGACGTGGTTGCGATGCCGACCTTGGTGGTTTCGGAGGTCTCTTTGACCTTGAGGCTGCGGGACTGTCCAGCTGTACTCTCACCTGCAGCACTTGGGGTGTGGGCAGAAAAATTAAGGTGCCCGCCTTGGACTAAACGTTTTGTGACTGATGAAAATAATTTGCATGATGGGAATACTTTCAAAAGGCTGTTGAAGGTGCATATTTAATAAAGGAAGGATCTTTGCCTGAATGTCCAGTGTAAACTTTTTGTCTAGAAGCTTTTATTGTGATCGTTTTGTGGGTTGTTTTTTTTAATTGATGGGGAAATTCGGAAAACTTTCCTGAAGACACAAGAAACACAGTCAAACCTGCTCTAACGGCCACCCGTATAAGACAATCCCTTGTACAAACAGCTGTTTCCCATTCCCCTCATTGTGTTTGTTTAATTCATGATAGTGGCGCTGTGTAAGATGTCCACCTGACTACTAAGATGGCCACTTTTTCCATCGACAATGGGTGGCTGTCTTGGACTATTTCGACTGTAGGTGGCTTTGAAAATAGACCTCTTGGTTTTCCAATGCTGGACAGTGAGATAATGATCTGTAAGGCATCGCGTAAATTATTAAAACCCTATTACTAATTTTTGTGTTGAATTTACTTACTTAAACAGAACTTTTATACTCTTTGAGTTCTGTCAAATTTGGCAGAGATAGAATTGTTACTAATGAGGCAGGTTGTGACCGACTCCCTGTCTTCAACTGAAATATGCCACAGCTTTATCGATTTGCGTCACGACGCAGTGGAATCAGGCGCTCATGAATTTTTAGGCATATGGGGTTATTGATAGCATCTAAAAGGTTATTCATTTTCCTTGCTTGCAGTGAAAAAAGTATCCATTTATCTTGAATAGCAGTGATTGAAGGAAATGGGGTCGCCTGGTTTCAGAAGTGAAATTAGTGAGAAAATGGCCGCCAATGTTTGGTGACTTCCATAGCTTAAGAGCCTTTAATCAACTTTTTCCCATAAAAAATCCACACATAAAAGTGTTTTTGAATGGACATGCAAGTGTTGAGCCAAAGAAAAGTCCAAACTGGCCGGAAATGCTGATTTCTCGAAATTTCATTATTTTGACGAGCGCCTGATTTCAGCACAATTCCTCACATTTGCTTTTTCTCTTCATTTCATATTGATATGCTTCTCACACACATTCTCACACACACACACACGCACGCACGCACGCACGCACACACACACGCATGCACGCACACACGCATACACACGCACGCACACACGCACGCGCACACACACACGCACGCACGCACACACGCACACTCATACACACACACACACACACACGCACACTCATACACGTACACACTCTGTTACATTTTCCTCTCAGTTTGTAGAGAATCAACACCTTGACTCAGGTCCCTTTATCCTTCCACACACACCTACAACCTTTTATTTCACCTCTCAGTTTGCAGAGAACCGAGGCCACCACTTCAACGTAGGACTCGAACTTGTGGCTCGCTGCGTGAATGACTTGCTGTCCCGAGGGGCTGAACCTCTCTACTTCCTGGACTACTACGCAGTGGGTCGCCTCAATGTCCCGGTGGCTGAGGAAGTGGTCAAAGGAATGGCCGAGGGTTGTGTGCAAGCCGGCTGTGCTCTCATTGGTAAACGCCTTTTTTTTTCTTTTTCTCTTTTTTTTTGGTGTAAATTTCTGAAACTTTGTGGAGATATGGGATATTTTGTCGGCTTGATGTTCAGATGTACTAGGCCCAAAATTTGGTTATTTTGGTGAACGTTTAATGGCACTCGCACTTTTGTAAGGTCAAACGAGCACACGCCAAAATTTAGATATATATTTTATTGTAGTTTTTAAATCTATGGTATCGGTTGCACATGCTTGAGAAAATTTTTTTGTCAAAATTCAAATTCTAAATGTTGAAAAGAGCAACAACAAAATATAATGAAGATACAATATATAAAGGAAATGGGCTTAGTGCATTTCAGCAACTCGCTGATGCTTTGTGTTTGTTTCTTTCATCACAAAATGATGTCATAATTATGCTGGCTTACCTTGAACTACATCTCAACAACGCCAATGTGTTTACTTACTGAAAGTGCCCCATCTATCTCTGTATGCTTATTAGTTTCCCTCAATTTTTATTCTCAATGGAAAACGTGTACGTATTTGAATGAATATAGTATATATTTGTGGAAGGGATGGAGTGTGAGTGTGACAGGAGGAAGGAAAGTGAATGTGGAGAGAGACGATTTTATCATTTGGACATAATGATGTCGGTGAACTGTCCTGTGTTTTGTAGATAAGCTTTAAACTTGTTGGAGACCAAAGAAATAACATTCAGAAATTCCTTCTCATTTCTGTAGGTGGAGAAACTGCAGAAATGCCCGGCATGTACCAGGGAAGCGACTACGACGTGGCAGGGTTTGCTGTTGGAGCTATCCCACAATCCCAGTCACCGTGCACGGGAAAGAGTGTCGTAGCGTTGGACCAGGTGGTCCTAGGACTGACCAGTAGTGGACTCCAGTACTGCGACTTTGGGCTGCTGGAAGACGCTCTGAGGGCCAGGAACCTGAACTTGAGGACACTGCAGGGACTTCATGGAGGTGGATCTCTAGGTCAGTTTTTCCAGTAAAGACGTATCGAAAAATGTGTCTGATTCGTGGTTGATTGTAAATATTTTCCACTACCCTGATACATATGCATGCATGTGCACACACACACACATAAACACACACACACACACACACACGCGCGTGCGCGTGCGCGTGTGTGCATGGATATGCTCACTTCGACATTATTTGATCATTTAAGAGATGACCTTGACTTTCTCTGTTTGGTACATCCAGTCCAGGGTTGTATTTTTCTTCCCAGTAAAAAGAACCAAAAAAACCCCCACATCCGATTGCCACTCTAGAATTGAACACATTAATTTGTTGTATGCAGAGCTAACAGCTTAACCATTCAACCAAAGATGTTTGTGAATATTTTTGTTGACGATGTGGAACCATAATTTTTTGTTTCAAGTTGAGATATTTACTTCTTTTGTTCCAGCTGAGGAAATTTTAGTTCCTTCAGAAATCTACACCAAGTCTGTTCTGCCACTGATGAGAAGTGGGAAGATCATCAAGTTTGCCTGTGTGAACCAAGGCCTGAGGTGTAGTGTGGCCAGCGTTCTGGATGATGGTCTATCAGTCAAGCTGGACGCTAAAGCCTGGGGTCTGGCTCCGGTGTTTGGCTGGATGACGGACATGGTGAGCTCAGACTAGTTGAAATATCTATAGTGTTCTTTTATTGTACTTCTTCAGGTGTCAGGTCAGGAGCAGACACGGGGGAGGGTGGGCTCTTGTGGCCTTAAGGTTAAAGTGTTCGCCTCTCATTCAATAGGTCCAGGGTTAGCGACAGAAAATTTTCTTCTCTAAAATTTTCTCCTTTCACGTCCTTTCCAGCTCTCTAACAATGTTCTGTCATCTGCTTTTGTCTCCACTTTCTTCCCCCACCCCCTCACCTCCTTTACCCCCTCCTCTGGGCTCCTGACTCTTTCTGCAGCCTTTCCACTGCCTCTCTGTGGTTCCATCTCACTGCTGTCTTTCAGCCACACCCCTGATCTTATGGTAGCTAAGATCTACACCTAGCCTTCTTGGACAAGGGTGAAAAATTGAATGTTTTCCTTTTTTCTGTCGGCTTCAGTATCCCTCTCATCCCAAGTTTCCCTGATGGGCAGGTCTGAAACATGCCACACAGCAACTGATTTAAATCAGTACTTGCAACCAGGGTGATTTTAGTTATTTTTGTGGGCAGTTGGGCCACTTAGTGACAGGTACTATTTTAATACCTTGCTTGAAAATACGCATGGGTTGGCAGTGTGAACATTTCAGCCTCTTAAAGGAGGCAAAAGTGGGCATTAGCTTTAAAAAAGGCTGACTTGCAGTGGTTTAAGTTGTGTCTATAAGGATGTAAAGCATGAACATTCATTTCAATCAGTCATGAGACCAGCCCAATAAAGGCTTGTCGATGCAAGAGAAGTTCACTGGTTTAGGCACACTAGAGACAAAAGTGTATTAACAGACTGGTTCAGTGTGAGATTTCCACCAATGTGACCATTTGGTATTGAAGAACCAAATGTGTCAATATCATTTCTCTCTTTTTTTGTCGATACTGAATAGATGGGTCTACAATGTCCTATTAAAAGTTAATGTTTCTTGTCTTTCGTCTTGACTTGCTATCCCCACTTTTTTCTGTTTATTCTCAGGCCGGCCTGGTTGCTTCTGAACTGATCCAGAACAGTAGTTGTGGCCTGGCTGCTATCCTAGTGGTCAAGCGTGATGATGTCACTGCGGTCAGAGATGCCCTCAGCGAGAACCTCTCGCAGCCAGTCAAAACAATTGGCACAATTGTGGAGAAAGCAGGTATGTCTGCTGACCGTTATGCTGCCGACAACCTAAGACAGTTAGTCATAGGGTTGAGTATGTATAAACAGTGCACACTGGAAATGGGATTCATCAATGTGAGTCAGGACCCGCCAGATTTTCGTTCACGGATGAGGTACAGCCATCATTTTGGCGCAATATGATGAAATTCAAATAGATTTAACTGTGACCTTCAAAATCATATATGTCATGACGCAGTGGAATCAGATGCTCGTCAATTTTTGGGCATATGGCGTTATTTGCATCATTTTAAAGGTGGTTCGTGTGTTTGCTTCGGATGAAAAAAAAATCCATTTATCTTAAGTAGAATTTGAGATATTTTCGATTGAAGGAGCTGGGGTTGTCTGGTTTCAGAAGTAAAATTAGCTAGAAAATGGGCGCCAAAGTTTTGGTGACTTCTTTAGCTTAAGAGTCCTTGGAAACTGCAAATTTATATTTTTTATGCCTTTAAACGTTTTTCCAGAAAATCCACCCATAAAAGTGTTTTTCAATGGACATACAAGGTGTTGAGGCAAGATACAAGAACTCAAAAAAAAAAAGTGCAAACTGGACGAAAAATGCCTTTTTCTCAGAGTCCATTATTTTGATGCTCCTGATTTCACCATGATGCCTCACAAATGCTTTTGTCTTTGAAGGTTGTGAGTCGAAGTGACCGTATTGTGCCAAAATAATAGCTTTTACCCCATCCATCAAGGGAAATCTGGCTGGCCTTGACTCAAATCGATGAATCTGATTAGTGGTCTACACTTGGTGTTAGATTTTTATACTGCCTACAAAAACTGTTGAGAGTAAACGTGCAGGCAGAGTGGGTGCTGCCTAGACGCCACAGCCACTTGGACGCTGCTTGGAGGCCCCATGTTGCAGCGACCAAAATTTAGACCTCAAGAAATGGGCTACTGAAGACAGCGGGGAAGCAACTTGCTAGCCACTCCCTCTTCCCACAGACCTGTCCTGGGCGCAACAAAAAACGTGCACCATTATGATTTAGCTCTCTACTAATTTTCTCGCTCCTTTCAGGCCATAACACAACACAACACCGACTTGTTCATCGCAGAACATTGTTCTTGTAAGCTCTTTATAGCAACTGTGTTAAAGTTGGTAGTTCCTTTTTCTAGGTATGGTCCAATTTGGCAAGGAGTAGCTTAAAAGGGGAGGATTTCATCTGTACATACGACAAACATTTTTCATCATCTGAAAGTACTTGTTCCATTAAATCATGATATTCCGCCATATGGTGAACGGTGCTGGTGAATTTTGTGGATCTAGTATCGGCGTCTGTTTAACCTTTGTTTTCTTTGCCAATACAAAATCATTAATAGAAGGATTCCTTCTTCGTCCATCCTGATGGGGACAAGATAGCTAATGAATATTCTGGGATAAGCAGCCCAGCAGAGGCTTCCATTCTGTCTCTTCTAGGGCCACATGCTCGCCTCACAACTTGCCCGCTGCCCCTTAAACTGCGTTCCACGTGGCGTCCAAGCTGCGGCCACTCTGCCTGCACCCTAATGCTCACACATAGTTTGTATTTCTTTTCTAGCAAGAATGGGTAGATACATTAATTTATTTGTGACTTCCGCAGTCTGTAATATTTACTTACTTTGTGTAATGAGTGAGTGCTTTTTCTTCTTCTTCTTCTTCTTCTTCTTCTTCTTCTTCTTCTTCTTCTTCTTCTTCTTCTTCTTCTTCTTCTTCTTCTTCTTCTTCTTCTTCTTCTTCTTCTTCTTCTTCTTCTTCTTCTTCTTCTTCTTCTTCTTCTTCTTCTTCTTCTTCTTCTTCTTCTTCTTCTTCTTCTTCTTCTTTTCTTCTTCTTCTTCTTTTCTTCTTCTTCTTCTTCTTCTTCTTCTTCTTCTTCTTCTTCTTCTCCTTCTCCTTCTCCTCCTCCTCCTTCTCCTCCTCCTCCTTCTTTTTCTTATTCTTCTTATTCTGCCTTTTCAGGTCTGGAGCAGACATTAACAATCATGGTGCCCCATTCCTTTCTGTTGTCTGTCTTCTTGATTAGGCCGGTTTTTCTTTTTTCTGTTATTCATTTCAAATTTGTTTAGGTCTTCCTCTGCTCCTCTTTCCTTCTATATTTCCACACAGCAGCAGTCTCTCTTAGTTTATAATTTGATCTATTTAAATGGGCAAAGAATCTCAATTGTCTTTTTCTTATGGTTCTGATTATGGATCTTTCACAACCTGTCATTTGGAACACTTTTTAAATGTGTTTTCCTCTCTTTCCATGGGTTCTGAGTATTCTCCTTAAATACCACATTTCAGTGGCCTCTGGTTCTCTCTCTCTGTGTCTTTGTTTAGAATCCAGCTCTCGCATCCATCTGGAGTAGAAAGAAGAAAAATGTGAGCGTGTGTGGTGTAGAAAAGGGTGGTTGATGCAGGATGTCACTGTGACCCACGTGTGGCGCCTTGAAGACTGGAGACCATAATTGTACATACTAGGTCAAGTAAATTCTAAATAGAGCGCCAAAGTTTGCTTTTGATGTTTTCTTTATGTGATTGCCTGACTGGTGTCATAGAATGTTACAAGTGTTCCCACAAAATTTTTTTATGAATCTTTGTTGCTTAAGTCAGAAAAGACATGAACTTAGGATGCTTTTTTCCAATATTTGCCTCCTGACAATTTTTGCATGACTTACTCAGCATCATCATGTCGTGTTGACGGTGTGTAAAACTTGCCTTCTTTTGCTGACTTTCCAGCTGGTGGAGATGGGCTTGTTATTGAAAATCTGGACTCTGCTCTAAAGGCCAGTAAAGATGCTGCCTATCTGGCGGCGCCTGAGAATTATGGTAAGGCTCCAAGCTGTTCTCGGGAGAGAATGAGTACTATTTGAAAATAATCAGAAAGTTGCTATGTTGGTTAATGATTAACCCTTGGGTATTTGTGAATGAGGGATGTAACAGACAGAACTATACTATACAATTGTTTAACAGTTGTTTTGGCGTACACTTATATCAGCTCAATATCATATACCATTTTCAAGCATTTCCTTAATTTACGATTTCTTTAAGCATACTGAAAAGGCAGTGTTAAAATTTTGGTAAGTGCTCTGTTTATTATAGACTTCCAGGTTGTAGAAATCTGTTACTATCTCGAAAGAGCTGGCGTCTGAAGTGTAATGATAAGGTTCTTTGCCATTGCACCAAAAGATATGAGTTAACTGTGTGAGGAAGGTATTATATCTACATGTAGTATCTTTGTCTGTTTGCTCGGATTCTGTGCCCCACGCAGCTCAGGTTGGCCCGGACAGGCACAGTCAGAGCAGCTGGCCTCGAAATGATCTTCGTCAGTTTGATGGAGGCATAAAACATTTACTGTCATAATCTATTTCAAACATCCCATGTTTTAAGAAGAATTCCTTATCCCTGAATGGAAAAATCACTTGTTATTATTAAATAACATTGTATTTGAACATAGATGTAGGATGTAAAAAAAATGGTTAACTGACCATGACATAATTGGTTAACTTTAACCTGAAGCTTTTTACCTCAATGTCTGGGGGGTTTTTTTAGTTGTAGAGAAATGTGAGACTTTCGAATAGGTTCCTTTTACAAAATCACAATGTTGAATGTGATGTAACATAAGGAAAGATTTTATCTTTTTTTTTTTTTAATTGGGGCTGCTTCAGATTCTGGTACTGTGAGTGTCAGTCGCCAACTGCCAATCATGCCGGATGTCAAGTCCACCTTGACAGTAGCAACCAGGACGGGTGCAGTGGTCAGTGAGGGTCATCTGCCGACATTTGATGTGTCCAGTCTGGGGCTGAATCAACCGGTTCTAGTGTCGGGGACAGATGGAGTTGGCACAAAGCTCAGGGTAAGGTTATGCGCACTATGACTGTATCTTTTTTGTTTAAATTTCAAAAGAAATGAAAATGTTACGGACGAGATTCAGATTCTTCTCTCCTCGGACTAGTAGGTTTGTCTCTATATTCAATTAAGATATTTTCTAGCCTCTCCCGCCGAAAGTCTGAAAAGAAATAAAGAACCTTTGGGCTTGTAGATTAAGATAACATTCCCTTCCCCCCCCTCTTTTCATCAGTTTTATGTATATTTTAACTTGTGTTGATTGTTGACACTTTGTTCTATTCAAGCTGTCTAAATTGCAACTTTTGAGTATGGGTATGTGCAATATAAATGCAATTAATTCATATTGTTATATATGATAATTTCAGGTGCTGTTATGATCTCCCATCTTTTTTTCTGAAAATTGTCAGTTGTTACTGTATTGTTGAGGGGGGGGGAATAATTTTAATAATAACTAGCATTTTGTACAGCTCATATCCCTACTTGATAGCAAGCTCTATGTGCTGTTTGAGAAACTATCATTACCTCAGCAGAGCTTAGGAAACTCAGAAACATTCTCAGCTTGCTGGGCAGCATTCAGTACAAACAGCTGATTGATTAAGTGCTCAAACAGTAACAAACTGACAAGATTTTTCCATATACACTGAAGTGAGAAGACTTGTCTGCTCTCAGATTGCCCAGAGCCTCGACCATCACTCCAGCATCGGTGTGGACCTGGTGGCCATGTGCGTGAACGATGTGCTGGCCAGCGGGGCGGAGCCGCTGTTCTTCACCAGCTACTTCGCCTCGGGGACCGTCCACCCAGACTGGACCCAGGATGTGCTGCAGGGTGTGGCTGAGGGATGTCGCCAGGCTGGGTGTGCGTTGTTAGGTCAGTAGGCTTAGGGTTTGATTCTTTCTGCTCTTGCCTTGTTTGGGTAGTTTTGTGTATTTATTTCCACTCTTTGCTGAGAGTAAGTTTTTTGTTACTTGGAGATAATTTCTTTCATCAGCAATGTTTGATGCTTGTTTAATTGTTTTGTTTCCTGTGAATATGTTTTGCTCCAACTGTTTAACCACTTGATTGCCTTGAGAGAAACTGCATAAGCTCTTCAGTAAGATCAGAAAGCAGATCGGGCCAGAGAAGTCCATTGCAGTCTATTTTATACTGCTGACTGTGTGACAGCAAAGTGTTAAAGTTGTGCATAGCTGCCAACTAGTATGCACAAATGTATTTCATACGTCTGAAAGGGTCTGTGTATAGAAGTCCGTTTTGTTATCAGAAAAGTTCTATTCTCTGTTTTTTAGTATTGTTCCTTTCGGACTTGCTCATGCTGGAGATATGTTTTCAAAATGGGATTTGCGAATGATAATAAAAATGAAGCACATATGTCAATATGTCTTAACTTGTCCGTGATTTGTTCGTCCACAGAGCAAAAAGTGTCTTTACTACCTTCCATATACCAGGGCAAGATCTATGATCTAGGTGGCTTTGCTGTTGCCGCAGTGGAGAAATCCAAGATTTTGCCATTGACATCGAGCATCCGAGCTGGAGATGCGGTTATTGGACTGCCCTCTAGTGGTATCCATAGCAACGGATTCAGCCTGGTTCGGCGTGTGGTAGAGATGAACGGACTCCGTTATGATCAGCCGTCACCGTTCACAGCAGGCATGACTCTGGGTGAGATTGTCGTTACATTGTTCGACATTTCTGGAGCAGCACCCCTGTTCCCTTCTTCTGAAAAGTTTGATTTTAACCATTTTTGTTAATCTTCTCATTGGTGGTTTTTGATGAGCACTTAAATCTCTGATGGTGAAGATAAGTTCTCAAGACTTTCATTGCGTCATGTCTGTAGCCCAAATAAGGTACGGGGGCTCTCATGGCCTAGAGATTAAGGTGTTCGCCTCTCATTCAAAGGTCCCGGGTTCAAATCCAGGTAGCAAGGGAAAAATAATCTTCTCTAAAATTGTCTCCTTTCACCTCCTTTCCTGCTCTCTAGCAATGTTCTGTCATCTGCTTTCATCTCTAATTTCTGCCCCCACCCCCTCACCTCCGTTGCCCCCTCCTCTGGGCTCCTGACTCTTTCAGCAGCCTTTCTACTTCTTTTCCTTGGCTCTTTCTTACTGCTGCCCTTCAGCTACACCCCTGATCTTCTGTTAGACCTAGCCTTTTTGGACAAGGGCGAA